AGTCTTGGTTTTGGAAAGTGTTATGTGTGTGTAGAGCTTTTCACTTGATAGAAAGGGTAGACACCAGCATCCAGAGGCTTTGGCCAGCCAGTCACTCTCTGTGAGATCTTGAGCTACATTGTCTTCATGCTGCTTTGGGGTAAAATAGAGTTGATTCTCAGGCGGTTATCATTATATTTTCCATGCTTTCTCAAGTCACATACTCATGAATACTGCTGCAGCATGTAATTTTTCCCATAAAATACATGCAACTAGGCCAGCATCATCTTTAAACCCTTAATTAGGAACCGAGTATGCTGGGAGTTGAGAACAACCTAGTTTAACTGTGGATACCAGGCATTTGGCAGAGTGTTGTGATGTTTGATATGATTTATTTTTCTCAAATGGATAATGCCAGTGATCTAAATCCTGGTTACAACAAAATCATTGGCACCTTTGAGTGTTTGGGTTAGCACAAACAGGAAAGACTGTGGGAATTCTAGGATTGTTGTTACAGTGTAAAGGTACTCTTGAGGATCTGGCACAGAGGTGTCCTTCAGTATTAGCTGCTTTTATTAATTTGATCATTTTTGTTCTTACTGTCACTGTCTGTGCAAGCTCTGTTCTTCCACTTGGTAGTTTTATAGCCCTGAATCTGTTAGTTCAACCTTGTCCATAGGTATGTGTGATTCTGGAAAAGGAGGATCAGAAAATGTCTTCAGTGCGTCTCACAGAGTTGTTTGTACAAATCAAATCAAATAACATACCATGTGAAAACAAATAAAATAGTATATGCTAACTGAAAATGCTCTGTAGCTCCAACTCTGTAATCCTTTTCCAGAATGCAAGGTTGCTAACATCTAAACCCCGTGATAAGCTGCCTGTATGGATTATAGGAAGAAGCCATAATGCTAGTTAAAAAAAAAAAAGGAAGTCTGGTCATTGATACTCATTTAGGATCACAGGAAAGTCGAATCTGAAATGATTTTTAAATTGTGAAGTTGTTTTTGTTCTTTTTTCACTCAAGGAAGTGAACATTTTATGTAGGATCAAAGGGCCAAAATGTTAACCTACAAATGGACACTGGTTTAATGTGTTTATCTTGCAGCACTTAAAATGAGTTTTCTATTTGAAAGGCACTAAATAATTCTGGAAGATGCCTTTAAATGTCTGACTTTGGATCCAGGATCAGAAAAGTACTTAAACAACACAGCATTTTTCACATAGCTCATGCTTTAAGTGGGTGCCGCCCCATCATTATCCTCCTCCTTAAATATAGATGTGTCCCTTTCTTGAAGGTGTGTTCTCCTGCGTCATGTGGTGATCTGGAGAGGTCATTGCTGGGCTCAGATTGTCTTATCTTGGAGATGCATGAGCTTAGGGGGAAGTCCGGTGGCATACTTGCCAGTTTTGTGAAGTTGTTCACTTCCAGAAAAACAAATAGAAGAAAATGTGTTATTAGAAAGCCAATGGATGGATGTGGTGTGTATATATATATAATATATATATTACACATTATATAATTATATGGTAATATTATATAATAATATATAATGTAGATTATTATATATTATATATCATATAATTATATTCTTATATAATATATAATATACTATATTATATATACATATGCACACATTATATATACATTATGTATTATATACAATGTATATGTATACATTGTATATAAATATATCATGCATGTATGTACATATATATAATACACACATATACATACATATATATATATTCATATCCTGTATTTATGGTCATGACAATCTCTTTTCGGAAAAGCCATGTTGTATTTGGAATATTTTGTGCTAATTGATGTGGAAAGAAGAGGCTAAGCAGTAAAAAGACTTAATAGAGAGGCAAGTTAATTCCCAGAGTGTAAGTGTGAAGCAAAATCTCAAATATAGCTACAATATGGGCCAAAGGTCTATTTCCCAGAGAATTAGAAGGACAATTATGTAGAAACTGACCACTGAGACACAGTCTGCTTCTGCAGATGAGACGGGGCATCTGCCCAGCTGTTTCCAGCCGCAATGCTGATTCTAATAATTTTGAGTACATGTTTCCCAAGGAAAACACAGTAACGTTACACTTGATCTTAGCCAAAAGGCTGAGAAGTGATTAAAAACACAGTAATATTAGGAAGAAAGAAATGACAGAGCAATTCAAGTTTTCAGTACGTGTTGTTTTGGAATGGATTAGAAGTGTTCATTCTCTAGCCAGGGTAAATAGTGTTGGAAAGAGAGAGAAAATAGAAGCATTCCAAAGGAGAACAATTACTATTTGTAAAATACAAACAAACAAACAACAACAAAAAACCCATCTATTTATGCTGTACTATTGTAGCTATTAGGAGTTCAATTACCAGTTCATATATATAATAATTAACACAGTTAAATGGCTCTTGTAGCATTAGCAATAAAATGTGAAAGTATTATAGAAGTTACTCATAGTTGCAGCTGAAGAAAATAAGACAATAGAAAGTTATTAAAGGACTTATATAGCAAATGAAATACTGGCCCTTATTTTTTCAGGATTTAATCAATTTTTAATCTGTTTCCCCTAAAGAGGCAAGCAATTAGACACTTAGCAAGGAATCAGGGGCTTCCAGTGTTGTGTAACCCTGAAGTCTCTTGACACTGATACAGCTGCTGCAGCAGTCGGTGGGTTACTGGAACCTGCAGCAACCCTGGGCAAGCCTCAGAGAAATACTTTCCAGTTTAGAGAGCTTCAGTGTTCCAAGGTCTATGAGTGAACATGAGGGTCTGATAGTTTCTGTCCAGCCCAGCAAGGTGTGTGTGTGTTGTACAGGATTTCCATGTTGAAAATATACTGTACCATGTGTGATGTATGAAGCAGATCAAAATGGAGTAACATGTCTATAAAATAATATTTATTCTTATAGTAATAATAAATGGAATAAATAATAAATGGAAGAGGAGGTTAGTTTAGAAGTTCATCTGGGTATAAAAATCAAAATTCACTGCATATCAAAATGCTGATTGGATTTATCTTATTCTACTCTTGTGCAGGCAGCAATAGCTGCTCTGCATTTCTGTCACATCCAGAAGACACTGGTTTGCCCTGGTCATCCCCAACCTCTGGCTTTTACAATTATTCTGTCCATTTTTCAGAGTTGGTTCCTTGGCTTCAGGGAGTGGTTGTGATATAAATGTCCTGTTTGTGGCTGAGCGCCTTGTAGTCATTTATTCTCACCATCAGACAACTCCACACTTAGAACAATACGGACAGCAAAAATTGGAGTAGATAGATAGCTTATTAAAAACAGGATGTGAAGTTGGGGGTAGGAGGTTTCCTTCAGACATGCCTGACTAATGTTATTCTGCCTATTTCTGCTGTGAGAGCTCCTTAGTGTTCCCAACATCACCTCTCACGTGGGATGACCCCACCCTCTGTAGAGTCACCGAGACCTCAAGCATGTTTTTCCAGTAATTCATCGTTACACACTATTCTGCTTACAATTACCATTTTTGTTTCTGTGTCTGTTTCCTCTGTCTCCCTTTTCTGTATGATCAAGTCTTCCCTTTCGGCTATGTCCTGTGGTTTCCTTATTGCCTTTTCCTCCAATATTTCTACATTTCACTCTTTCCCCTGGATGGCTTCCCCTAAGCTTCCTTGCCCTTCCCCATTTTCAGTTTGGCTCTCTAAATGCCATCCTCCATAGGGACTATTTTCCTTTCCTGTTGATATATGGGTCACCTTTGCTAAGTGTTGCTAATATTTCTTTATCCTTTAAATGGCTTATCAGTTGTTATCAAGGCGATGATCAGGAGCTGACTGCAAACATCAGACTGAGGAGTGGCCCGTGTGTGAAGAGGGACCACCTGTTTACCAAACTCACTGATGGGTCCTGATGTGCATTAGTCTTTGCTAGTGGGTTAATGGAAATTTGGTCATTGCTAGTAGAAATCACTGACCTATTTTGAAAAGATTAGGAAGGCTGTTACTGTGGCCCTATTGTTTCTTAGTAACCATGATCCTTCTATTAAATAATGAGAAATGAGCACTTTAGTATCATTAAGCTGTGTGGGACCATGGCTTGTGCATGAAGCGCCACTATCAGATCTTGAAACGATTGTCATCTACCCTTGGGAAGAAGGTCATTGTAAAGTTACATTTCCAAATATGGTCCCTGTGGTTAATGAGAGATGAGCAGCATTCATTCTGCAGCATCACGACCTCCCCTTCAAAGCCCTGAATAAATAGAAGAACTCACTTATCACATTGATGTTTGTGACGTAAACAGGGCTCTCATGTGTTCTCTGGCTCCCAAAAGACAGAGTATGGAGAAGAAGAGGGAAAGAAAATGGCACTGAGCTCATAAGGCCACAGGGGGCTTAGGGGAAGGAGGGAGGCTCACTTGATATTAACTGGAAAAAGCTGAGCTGATGGTACCTGACAGTGGGGTGCTCTGGAACCTTTGCTTCTCCCAACATTATGGGTTTTTTTTTTTCCTTTTCTTTTAAACATCCCACCAAGGCTTGTCAAACTAAATCACACATGGTTGTTTCTGACTAGCGTTTTGTTCATTGTTATTATGTGGGGTCTGTATGTTTCCATGGCTCTAGGAATGGAGCAAGTACTTCACCGGCCTGAAGATGCGTCTTTAACAATAGCACAGTAGATATTAGGAAACATTACCAGTTTTGTTCAAATATAGAATATCACATGCTTTGACTGATTTTTTTTTTTATGTTTTACATATCCTTTATGGCATGTATGAGTTTGTGACATCTTTTAAAAGAATTTGCCTCCCAATCTTAGGGAAGATTTTGATTTAATAGTCCAGGTGTGTGTGTGTGGGGGGGGGGGGTGTCATTCTCCCTTTGGTCTCCTGAGCTATGCAGGGAGGACTGACTTTGGCCTGAAATTCTTTTTCTCTTTTGAACTTCAGGAAGAGACGATGCGATTCGTGCAAGCTTTCATTCTGCATGCCCCCATGCAATAATCTGAGAGTCTCATAATCATTTTTGTTTTCTTAGGCACTAGAAAAACATCCCAACTCCCCAATGACAGCAAAGCAGATTCTGGAGGTCATTCAGAAAGAAGGCTTAAAAGAGACAAGGTCAGTATCCATCTTTAAGTCATTTTCTGTTTCGCTGATTAATAACCACCACTAGTGAAGCAACAAGCACCCTAGAGTTAACACTGTAGTTGAAGGTGAACTAACTACCCACAAGTTCTCTTGTGATGGCAAAACACTTGGGTGACCTAAGATTTCCCTAGAGCTGCCTGCTAACATGGTCCATCACCTTTGGCTGGTCGATACAGAATGGTCGTTGGAAACAAAGAAAGCCATTGTGGTTTAGCCCCACACTGGAGTTACTCCTCTTTCCCTCAAGAGGAGATAGTGCTTCTGAAATTAAGCAATAGAAGAGAAGTGCTCTGATAGGCTTAATAGATCCCAGAATATAAAGATGAGCAGGCTCTGATAAAATTCAAAGGGCCAATAAAATGTGGCTGAAAATTTAGCCCTCTTATATTGCAGGCCTCTACTCTGAGTGACTGTTATCAGAGAGTGAGCCTTTCTATTTATTTTTTAATAGTGGCTTTATTAAGATAGGATTCACATGTAATAAAATTTGCCCTCTGATGGCTTGTGTCTGCAGCCACCCTCACTACTCTAGAACACTCCCATCATTCTAAGATGATGTCCTGTACTTATCAGTTTCCACTTGCCACCCCTACCACTTTAGCCACTAATCCTTATTGTCTCTATGGATTTGCTATTCCAGCATTTTCTGTAAATGGAACTTATGTAAGTAAATACAGCCTTTTGGCTCTCCTCCTCACTGTTATGATTTCAATAATGATCGTTGTTATAAAATATATAAGGACTTCATTCCTATTTGTTGCCAAATAATTTTCCATTGTATGAATATACCACATTTTGTTGACTCATGATGGTCCTTTATATCTATGTATTAATTGTACAGCTTTGGCTTTGGCCAGCTGCCTAGGACCACACAGATAACGCCTGTGAAAAAGATAAAAGGATATTTGTTACATGGCATAGAAATCATATTGATTTATATGTTTGCCATTAGCCATGTTACATCAGATAGGCTTTTGTATGAGCCTGCTGTCTGAAAGCTATAGTCACAGTGGTTATAAGCTGATGAAAATTAAACCTAGGAGATAGCTTTTAGGGCTTTGATGCTGAGATAGACAGGCAGAAGAGGAACGCATACCCCCGAGTCCAGCCTTTTTTTCACATGGATTTCACCTACGATTCCTGTCAGCTCCGAAGCATATGCAATGTTTAGTCTGCAGCTGTTTGAATGGCCTCGTTTTCAAGTTAGATCCATAGACGTTACAAGTCCGTGGGGTGTAGGATACCTGTGTTCAGGTTCTCATCGCTGTGTGGGGGGACTTTTTCCTGGCCTCCACGAAGAAAGAGAGTGAGATAGTCTAGCTACACCATGCTACCAGTCTGTTTCCACAGTGGTGGCAACAGCAGGAGGCTGTCCGCTCATGGTGCCCAGAAGCCGCGCATGGGAAAGCCGGTTTAGGCTGGGTATCCGCATGAGGAAGTAGGGAATACGATGGGGAAAACTGACAGTTTTCCCTTTGCCAACCTGCCGATAAGCCAAAAAGTATTTTTGCTATTGAGGAGACATTGAAAATGTTCATACCACAGCCAAAGGAAAAGAGGTGGTCCCCATCTAAACATGTCAAATGCATGAGCCTTGATCCAGGGAAATCTGCTAACACACTTATGAATTGCACCCCTAGAAGCAGATGTTTGAAACTCATCTATTATGACACCTATCTCAGGACTGGCAGGTTAGCTCCGTGGGTACGTACTTTCAACAAACGCATAACAACCTGGGCATGGTGGTATGTGCCTATAATCCCCATACTAGGGAAACTGAAACAGGAGGGTCTCCAAAATTCACCAGCTAGACAGCTAGCTCATTCCATGAACTATAGGTTCAGAGAGACTCTCTTTCAAAATGTAAAGTGAGGATGATAGAAGAAACCCAAAACTGAGCTCTGGACTCCACATGCATGTACACTCATACATGCTTCTATTCATGAGCTGTGCACACACGTGTAGACTACGCACACACAGATAGTCTTATCCGAATGCTTGAGTGCCGCTGGCTAAGCGCCGCTGTTGTTTTGAGCTTGCTCGCTATGGTTTCAGCAGTGTGGTTCTCAACAGTATTTTAATTGCCGTTATGATCACAATGCTCACATGTCATGTTTTCAAAACGTTCCTTTTTGCAGCTGTGCTTGAGATTATGTTACATTTATGCAGTTAGCAAAACCAGTCAAAACTCTAAAGCAAAATGTCTTTAAAGAGTAATTAAGAACACTGAAATGGAACGCGCAACTCTCGGTGTCCCTGAATTCATATCCTCTGGGTGCATTAATGTTGTCCCTTATGTGGGAATTATAGCGTTACCAGTGCTAATAGACTGGTGCTATTATTAAGAGGACTCTGGCAGGCAGCTCGCAGGTAGACTAGAGAAGGGAAGGGCCATGAGAGAGACTGCCATTGTTGATCATCTGTAAAGCCTGGCCTGCTTTGAATGGCTCCAGGCAGGCTTTTCTTTTCATGTTTCCATTTCTTTTCTCTTTTTTTTTCCCCTTTCTGCGTTTCCATCAGCTATGATCTGCTGCTTACTGCTCACGTGTTTCTGTCCAATCTTCCCTTGATTTCTAGTATTAGTTTGCCTGTTACAGTAACCTCTAAAGCAAACCTTCGTAGACGCCGAGTGAGTTTGGAACTCTCTTACTTGTCATGTGTGCTGTTTTAGGGAGCAGGTGCTGACATTTATTTTGCCTGCTTAATGTACTGTTTTGCTACTTTTGAAGTTCTGAGATGTTTCCAAATATTTAAAGTAGCTGAATAAACGAAGTGTAGCTGTACGTGCTTTTCTTAGGTAAAGTTTACAAATTCCATCATCAGAAGGTCAACCCTGGATGATTAATTCTTGTTATTTATTAATAATGTGTTTTTCACGAGACGCAAACAGGTTAGATATGCTTGGTGGAGTACAGAAGAGTGACCCTGGGGTTTCTGATGTGTCTGTGTGTGTTCTAAGGGTTACTGGTAAGGTTAACCTTCCCTGCCCAGTCCACCATTGCCCCTAGCATTTCTATGTGTAGGGTCTCTCAGGATCCTGAGCACTTAATTAAGAACATTCATGTAAACCGCGGGGTCTTACCTTTTCTGTGAGCCAGGCTAATTCTGCCATTGGTCTAGCAGGACTGCAGTTTTGCGCTGGCATTTTCATTGGGTGTTATGAGCTTGTTAAGGGCAACGAGAGTATCCAATTCTCCTGGCACTCAGAAGATACTCAATAAATTGTTGTTGAATAAATAGTCTTCTTCTTCAAGATGTTAATTTGCTGGCTCACAGTGAGGACTTTGGCTTACAGTCAGTACTAGAAGCTCCTTGCAAACCGGCATGCTGGAGTTTATATCCCATTCAATAACTATTGTTTTGAAATAAAAAAGAGGCTAACAGTTCTGCACTAGCCCCATTAAATATTTGTACATAATGACAGTCTGAGGAAGATTAATTGAAGAAGGGAAGCATGGTTCTGTGGCTTATTTTTAGACATTGTCAGAACCACTTAAACAAGTGGTTGTAATTTGTAATTAAGGACTGGAGAGATGGCTCAGCGATTAAGAGCACCAGCTGATCTTCCAGAAGACGAGGGTTCAAATCCCAGCACCACATGCTAGCTCACAACCATTTATAACTCCAGTTCCAAGGAATCCAATGTCTTCTTCTAGCTTCTATGGAAACTGCATGCATTTGATGTGCAGACATACATGCAGGTAGAACACTCACACATTTGAAATTAATAAATACATCTATTTAGTAAATTGGTAATTAAAAACATCTCGACATCAATTATTTTGACACAGCTAATGGAGATATTAGAATAGATATAACAGAATAAATAGCGTTACTTTGACACTTGTGACATTTTATGCTGACTTTTTCTCTTTGAAAGCGACACTGTAAGTTATACATTTTTTATGTGGGCATGATGCACAGAGCACAAATTTTGTGTGCCATCTCCATGTTATTTATGAAATATATAGACTACTATGATTAGATTCTATCTTGAAAAGCCAGAATGAAATAGTCCATGTATGAGTTAAAAAAAAATCTGAACACAATGCATTGCCAAACTGTTGTTGGAAAGTTGGTAATGTGATCACAGAACAGTTTCTGTAGATCAGATTTTCTTTTCAGTGAAAATTTGGTAACCTTTTCTCCCACTTCATACACTAGGATGAAGGGATTTTCCAGAACATTTTTTTTTTTTGTATTATAAAACATCTGGTCCATCTGTGTTTATATTTTACTGATTCTGATGATACTTAGACTTTAGATCTTTCGGGCCCTATTGGTTGTCACAACTGATCAGTCACAATTGTTTGGAAGGCCATTCAGATGGCCAGAGTCTTATAATCAAATAGTTGTGTTGACTGGACAGAGGGGGCAGTGGGAACATTCCAGTGTGCTGGGCTGTGGGTGTGCACTTGAGTCTCTGTGAGCCCCTCAGCTGCGCATTGCCAGGCCATCAGGACAGGAGACTGGCAGGCTCCCATCCGCAGTCAGGAAGAGCGTTTGGGAAGGTTGCATGCTATCTCTCTGCTGATTTTCCGTATTTGACTTGCTTAGTCAAGAGTCACCTCTCTAGGAGAAACATTGACATCCTTTTAGTACTGCAGGATGTTTCTTGCTGCCCTGTCTCATGTAATTTTTAAGGTGATGCTCAATAAATAAATAAATGGTCTGTTAGTATGACACAGCCAGAGGCTGCAAGGCTGCAATACAGTATGCTTGTATTGTTTAGCCAACAAGAGAAAGAAAGAATAGCAACAATTTACCATGTGCTGGCCATCACTGTTATATCAGTAATTAATGTGACGTGAGTTGTAATGTACTTCTTATATTATCTAAGAGACCAGGTAAATAATTTCTAATAAAAAAATAGAGTCATAAAGGAAACACATACACGCACACAAATAATGTATACTCACACACAAATATACACATACACACACTCCTAAACACATATACCAACAAACACA